TGTACTCAATTAGAGGGTCGTTGATCATAGTTYTCTCGTTCAATAAAGGGCAAAGATTMAGCAGCTCTCTGAGACTCAACTTTTCTTCGTCAAGCAAGTTCAATTGCCTGAATGTTATCAGGTAAGTGAAYTTAATRTCAGGGACTGTTATACAATTCTTGGCCATGTCTCGAATAAGTTTGTGTGAAAATAWAGTTTTTCCTATGCCAGGCTCACCAGCAACCRCTATTCTTTTTCTCTTCTTTCCTTCASTTTCATCRACAAATATTTGCGAGCAGTGCTKAATTTGAGTAATTGTTTTACGGGAAGGGTGATCCATTCGAGGTCTTTTGATTTGCCGAACGYTTTTTTTCTCRCYGTGGTGAATTGTTAAATTGGTGAAGATGTCGTCTGTTTTTACTGCTTCCTCATCTATTATTCCTTTTGGTAGCTGCATGTYTGTTTGCKTTGTTATCGCTTCCTTAAGATTTTTCGAGTACAACTCCAAATCTAAAAAAACCAAAACCAACAAAACACGAAGTCTTAAAAAAAAATCTTTATTAAGGCAGATTTATCTATATTTAACGTTATCACTTATCACTTTGCCGAGGACTCTACTACCATTAAGTTTAGAGAGGAGAAGAATAAAAAGACCAAATAATACATATAACTTAACAAAAACCGACCAAAATACCTTCCAGTGTCAGTTTTCCTATTGGTTYACTGGGTAAAACTGCTTCTCTCATCTTTTCAAATCCTTGATCCATCTTTTGTCCTAGTCTCTTTTCTGTTTCCTCCAATGCCTTGAGTACTGTTTGTTCATAATYAAACCATTCTTGTATACATTGGATATAGTATTTTTCATCTTCTGGGTCCATTGATTGTATTTTCAGATTATCAATGGCTTCTTTGTCAGCACCAAGTCTTACCAACACACTCTCAATATCACTCCAGAACGTGTTGAAGTCAGCATCTGAAAGAGCTGCTGTAGAGATGTGACCATGAAGATCATTTCGAAACAGCCGTATCCTCACTATATCATCTTGTTGGTTTGTACTTGTTGCTGCAGGCTCCTTGTCCCATCCATTGGCAGGTGTTGGTAAACTGCAGATATTCCTCAACAGTAAACTTAGGAGAGTTATGTCAAAGCTTGCAGATGTTGGGGTTCCTGCACAATACAATTTTTTCCACTGTTCTGGTCGAAGTATTTTCTTAGATTTCAAATTCTTTAAGATGCTGTGGTTARTAGGGTMCTGGAGGTGTTTCTTCAGATCAGGAGGTGGATGTTTGGCATCAAAAATGTCTCTAAGGACGTGTGTTCCTCCATCGATAAGAAAGTGACACAATCGTGCAAAGTTGGTGTTTTCTTTAGTGACTGTTGACCATCCAGTAGCCATCTTAATTTCCTGTTRATCACAAGTAAWYTTTATTTATATTCTACTCCTGACTGAAACAYTCATGCGRTTTTGTTTCTGATTATTGATTTCCAGTAGAGACCGACATAAATCAAAGCTTAATCAATGGAGCGACGCAAAAAATGCAAATTTCAATCGTTCAAACATTGTTTACAGTCTAGAAGAATCTGTATGACTGCAGGGAAGATTATTCAATTATCTATTAACTCCTACAAAAAGCACCTAAGAACTCGAAAAAAAAGAAGTAAAAAGATTGATTGTACATGTATAACTGATGCTAATACCAGGGTCGCTATCACATTTTTGCCGCTTCATGGTGTAATAAATCTAGAGTCTACGTTTATTAGTAAGGCTTGGGTCAATCGTTGAACTACATTTTTGACGTACCAAAAGTCATTGCTTTGGGCTCGCAATTATACCATATTTCTCCTGCAGTAAATTACAACTTTCCAATTCTCCTCAATTTGACAGACGAGCGAATCACCGAGATTACAATACTCACTTGCTCCATTTATAAGGGGATAAATTTAGTATATATCAACATATGAATCCCTAGTAACTGAACAAGCTACTAGCTAGTAGCATTTAAATACGTTTCGTTCAATGTTTCTTAACAACGCAAGATGATGTTAGAGAACCTGCACTGCAAGACACCATCAGCACCCCACATCAAAGAGAATGTTGCCTATTACCAATACGCTGTAGTAATAATTCAATCGAGTGTGCATCTTACCTATCGAATACAAAGCTTTCAGACGGTGTTGAAAACAAAATCGAAGAGTTCAGTTTGGGTGTGTTATATTCCTGTAAATGAATTAATGATATCTTGGATTCAGCTGAATTGCTAAGGTATGGCGAGATATAGCGTGACACTCGTTCAAAACAAATGAACTCACCAATAGAAAACACTTTCAAGGAGCAATTGATTGACAGTTTTGTCTTGGAGTGGTGAGCCATGGCGATGTCATGATACAGAGTCAAATTATTTTAATATTTCAATTTAAAAAGGAAGTTGACGCTCGTGTTGCGTTTACTCGGGCTGCAGCATATAGGATTCTGAGTAATTGAAACTCTTAACTACTGGTTATAGGCAGAATGGATTGCTTGGTTTTGGAAATAAAAATGCATTTTTGTTGTCTTTGATTCAACTAGCAATATTTTGCACAATGTAGTAATTAGTGTTTAGTAATTCTTGACCTGGTGCGGCTGTTGTAGCTAGTCGTCACTCACTGAGATCAGCTTTTTTTGCCTTGGGCAGAAACATAATCTAAAGAATCTGATTCCCAATTACATGAAACCTTGTTAACTGATTTAATGAGAAAAAC